AAGTACATAAGGATGAAGTAGGATTTATTGAGCTACATCGAGGGCCCGAGCAGTTACATACCCTGTATCTATAATGGATGAAAAACTCGATTTTGTGACTCCCTAAACTCCCAGCAGCCCTGGAACAGGAACATAGCAAAAGGATGTTTCTACTTCAGCAGGCTGGGAGGTGGGGGTGGGGGTGGACAGTGTGGAAGGAAATTTAAGCTAATAGCTAGCGAAAACATTCAAACAGCAGATCCTGAGGGTCAGGGCTGAGCGTGTGAGTAAGTGAATCCAGAGTTGGGGAGATGGCCTGGTCGAATAAAGATGGGTCAGGGGACCAAGAGGGACAGTAGGAGTGAAGCACAGATTGGATGTGTCTACTGATTAGGTTGTGGGTGCAGAGTGGAATTTGAAAGTTCTGGATCTTGGAAGTGGTACAGTTCTTGAGTTGTGAGACCTAAAGTGTGATTAGGGGCAGCTAGGTGGCACAGTGGATAGAGCACTGGCCCTGGAGTCAGGAGGACCCGAGTTCAAATCCAGCCTCAGACATATGACACTCCACTAGCTGTGTGACCCTGGGCAAGTCACTTAACCCCATTGTCTAGCCAAAAAAAAAAAAACACCAAAAAAACCAAAACCAAAATAAAGTGTGATTATGCTGAGGTGGTGGTCACTGAAGATGAATTTGGGGACTTATGTGATCAGGTTAGAAACATGAATATTGAAGCCCCCAAGAATAACAGTAGGGCTAAGACACAAAGCATAGCTCTTAAAAGTGGTCAGTGAGGGATGGTGGTAGAGTACTGGGGAGCAAGGCCTGCCCACACTTCCTCCTGGCTCCAAGTTGTTGGGAAAGGAAGGAGAGACCACAGTAAAGCTTTCAAGCAAAGGCTGGATAACCAATCACTTGTCAAGAACATTGTAGAAGGGGGGCAGCTAGGTGGCACACTGGATAGAGCACTGGCCCTGGAGTCAGGAGGACCTGAGTTCAAATCCAGCCTCAGACACATAACACTCACTAGCCGTGTGACCCTGGGCAAGTCACTTAACCCCACTGCCTAGCCAAAAAAAAAAATGTTGTAGAAGGGATTCTCCTCTTCCAGGTACCTTTGAAGCCCCTTCCATTTCTGACAGGGTTATAGAAGAGGTGGTGTCCTCAAAGGAAGGGTAGATTTCCATTACAGCGAGGAAGTATAAAAGATGTTGGTTAAAAAAGGGTATGGTGAAGGCATGGGGGAGGTGTTAACAACAGAGCAAGGGTGCAAACAATGGGTCGGGGAACTAAATTGTTGTGGGATTAATTTTAGATGAGTGGCAACTACTCTGTTCTACTTCTGAACCATACTGATTCCATGCATACTTCCTAGTGGCCTGGTTTGGGTTGGATCTGGCATGAAACACATGGAGGTCAAGGCTTGCTGAATTCAGCAAGGAGCAACTAGTGTGGGAATGCCTTCCCAGAACTTCTTGGAAATTTTCTGTTTTTCTGAATCTCAATTCTTGAGAAAAATAAGTTAAGAAATTAGGGGAAAGTGTTATGATTCTCCTGTGAGAATTAAGGGCTCATCAACTTGGAGACATTCCTGGTTCAAAGGAATACAAGTCAAAAATATTAGCAGGAAAGACTGACATGCAGAGTCAAAGTTTAAGGTCAACATTTGCAGGAACCAGGACGGGAACACATAGGAGAAAAGCAGGTGGCCTTCTAGGTCCTTGGGTGCGGCCTTTTGACTGAGTCCAAGTTTTACAGAACAAAGCCTTTTATTAAAGGGATTTGTTCTGTGAAGATTGGATTCAGTCAAAGGGCCACATGTGGCCTCAAGGCCGCAGGCTCCCCACCTCCGGATCAGTCTTGCTTGTAACTGTTGTCGTGTCATTGGTGTGTGTTCATAACTCTGTGTGTTAAGTGTCATTCTTCCAAATACAATATATATTAATCAGTTTATACATATAATATACTTACTTTATACAAATCCTATGAGGGGTATTATAAGAAATAACAAATTGCGGAAGCAAAACAAGTCCTTTAATTGGTGATGATTCTTTGTAGTGCTGTTAACCTTGCTAGATTTGGATGTTATGTTATTCATGTTTTCTGGTGTTTTCTAATGTCAGAAAATTCACCTGCTGTTTATATCCGTAATGATAAGTAAAGAATCTGAAGCATCTTGGAAGTATTTTTAAGAAAGATAAAAGAAATCAGCTAGTTCACTGCCAGATGTGGCACAATATATTGATTCTTAATAATAAATCATACATTTATTAAATTTTTAATAGAAAACCTCTGAAACTTTTATTAAAACTATTACATAAAAATCATTTGCTGTTTATTATCATGGTCACTCATTATTATGTAAAAACATTGTAAATAAAATGTTATGAAAAATACAGGATGGGGGCAGCTAGGTGGCGCAGTGGATAGAGTACCGGCTCTGAAGTCAGGAGGACCTGAGTTCAAATCTGACCTCAGACCAAACGCATGACACTTACTAGCTGTGTGACCCTGGGCAAGTCACTTAACCCCAATTGCCTTAAAAAAAAAAACAACAAACAAAAAACCAGAAATGTCAAGAAAAAAAGAATACAGAATGACTTGTGATTTCAGCCATTTCCAAGAATTCTGATTTCTCATTCCCAAATTGGAAACACTAGGAGCAAACAAACTTATGCTCCAAAGTGGCTCACCCTCACATAAGATCCCTTCCAACTCATTCTTTGAGATCAGGGACACAAGTAAGCCTGAGGAGCAGGAATTGGGGAGATGGGAAAGAGAAGGAGCATGTCCTCTGGGATATCTGTTGTTGTTATTTAGTCATGTCCAACTCTCCGTGAGCCCATTTGGGGTTTTCTTGGCAAAGACACTGGAGCGGTTTGCCATTGCCTTCTCCATCATCTTATAGATGAAAACTGAAGCAAACAGGGTTACGTGACTTGCCCAGGGTCACGCAGCTAGTAAATGTCTGAGGCTGGATTTGAACTCAGGTCTTCCTGACTCCAGGCCCAGTGCTCTAACCACTGTGCTACCTAGCTGCTCCAACCCCAGGATAAGCCAGATTGATACTCTTATGTGTCACTCCTCAGGTTGGCTTCTTCCAAATTCTTCCCTCTCCTTTATCATAGGTACTTGAAGAGTCTCTTATTTCCAGACTTATGGAATCTATGCCCTGCAAATGATTAGGATCGCTGTGTTTTTAGCAACTATTAAATTCGATTTGCAATGAAATACCTATAAATTCATAGCAACTATTGCTGTAATCATTCTTGTTATGAGTCCAAACTACCAAGAGGAGTTTTTATTAAAAGTAATTTCTAAAAGGGTTTGTTACAGGTAGAGCAGAGCTGAAAAACTGTAAAGGGTAGATAATCTAAACTCCAACCTGGAAAACAAAATCACACAAGAGGAAACCACAGATCAAAGTGGGCCCAAGAGATTGTCATATTGGACGGAAGAAGTCATATAGTGACATTTAATATCCCTGTTGCAAAACCTAGGATCTCAAGTAGCAGAAGGAAGCAGGGAAGCCCACATACCAAATGTGATCTCTCATACCCCATATATTCAGAAGTCAGGCATTCAGCATCAACAGCGTAGAATACAATCACAATTTGGGCCAATTCTCTGTCCCTGATCTAAACCATTATGAATGTCTGTCTCTGCCATCACGATGGTGGGGAATCTGCAGCCTTGAGGCCACGTGTGGCTTTCCAAATCCTTGGGTGCAGCCTTTTGACTGAGTCCAAGTTTTACAGAACAAATCCTTTTATTAAAGGGCCTCACTTGAGGACCTAGAGGGCCACGTGGCCTCAAGGCTACAGGTTCCCCACCCCTGGTTTAGACTTCTGGGACTGCATTGCTTCTAACCACATCCCAAGTATCACGCCCCCCCCCCCCAAATGCTACCATAATAGAAAATAAGTTTGACAAAACTAATAACAAACTGAAGTTACTTTTCGTTAGCAAAGTTTTAGTGCTTGAGACGCCTTCTGCAGTAGTGCACTAAGTATTGAAGGAGATTTCTGTCTCTCCAATTGTCTTCTCAAATCCCTCATATCTGATTAACTTGGAAAAAAGAATTTGTTAATGAAACCATTATCACATCACCATGTTTTCTGAGGTTTTCAAAAATTAAGTATAGCCACATCCCCCTCTATCAGACCTACTTTTCCAAGCACAATATAGAAACCGTAGTACTCAATTCTATAGATTATTTTGCCACCATAAAAGAAACCTAGGACTGAAGTAGTACTAACCTCAAGAGATAGATCCTGGACTTCTGACTCTCCTGAAAGAGTAGTATACTGTGTCACTGTCACATCCTTCTTGAGAAGACAGGTTGATGAACACACAGCTGCGTTACCCACAGAGCACTTTGCCAGGGCTGAATTTTCTAAACCAATGTATTCTTCTTTTTGCACTTCAGAAAAGGTTTTGCTCAAATCACAGAGCACTTTGTTTGCTATAGCACTTACAATCTGGTGAAGCATCACAACAAACCAGTTATATCAACATCAGAAAACTGCTCAGGGAATCCATGTTGCATCTGCTGGTCCAGCTAGCTTTTCCGCCACCCCCTTCCCCAAGACTATCACTGGGGCACCTTCACTGGAATCCAGAGCTGCTTTTAGAGGTCACATGAGAATTGGGTTCGCCCTTTCACCAAATATCCTTGCCCAGAAATACAGATCAACTCTGTAATGAGCCTTCGCTGTGACAAATAACAGGACATGTTTGTGTAAAGTTCTACCATTTGCAAAAGACTTTGCTCACAAGAATACTGAGATAAATTTTGCAGGTATTATCTTCATTTTACAGATGGGGAAATCAAGGCTCAGATGAGCTGAGTGGTGAAATAGCTGGTAAGCTCCACAATTTAGGCCTTAGATTCTGAATCCATTCACACCACTGCCTGCATCATGAAGAATTATGAAAAGCAGAACCAGGCTCGGGGACGCCAGAATAATCAAGAGGAGGAGAGAACGATGCAAGACGACATCAAACAGTACTTGGCACAGACTGGGTGCTTAACAAAGGCTTGTTTATTGATTTATTGGATTTGAACTTTTAAGGTACAGTAACAATAGCAGCTCACATTTCTACATGTTCATTTTCAAAGTGTGAGGTAGGTTGGACAAGTAATATTCCTATTTTAACAGTCAAGACACCAAGGACTGAAAAGGCTATATAACATCAATGGCAATCCATAACAAGTGGTGGAACCTGGCCTCAAATCCGCATCTTCTCATACCACATAATGCCAATTAATAGGCTTTTAATACACTGTGACAAAGCTTGAAATGCCATTGCTGGAGACACAAACTTTCGAGGCAATGGAAAAATGTTGCTACTTAGCAATGTCTGATATTCCACAGAAAATGATTATTTGAAGAGTGGCTATCGGGGCAGCCAGGTGATAGGCAAATGTTTTTCCCAGCAAAGGAGCTTGATAATTCAATACTCTTACATAAAGAATCCTTAAGGCCACCCAGAGCTCCCACAGAATGGAGGGGGCATTAAAAGCTGAAATCCAAGGAGGACCTAGCAGGTATCCCACACTTTGCTCTTTGATCAATTTCTCCCCAACTCAAGGAATATACAATTCATGGTAATTAGGGTGGCAGAACCACCATTTGAGTCTTCAGTGGATATGACCCACGGAAAGGAGAGACAATTTTGCTCCCACAACCGCTTTCCACAGGTGACTCTGGAAGCTCAAAGGAATTGCAAGAGATGCAAAAGCACTCAGTCACTGTATATTCAATCAATGAACAAATGAGGTACTTGGCTCAGAGCCCTAAAGAGGTACTTGGAAGTTAGAGGGTTTTCCAGAGGAGGATAGGGATATTCAAAATTTTTGTTAAAGTGACTAAAAGTAAGAGAAATCTAGTTGAAGCTTATTCAAGTACCTATTATATCAAGATGCCAGTGGTTATCTTGCTTCAAATGATGCCAGTGGATAGAGAACTGGCCTTAAAGCCTCTAGAAGCCCTGGGTTCTAATTTTACCTTTGGCACATACTGGCTTGTGTGATCTCGGGCAAGTCACTTGACATTAGTAGAGGGAGTTCCCTAGACCCAATATGCTCACAGGCCTAGTCCCCACCACACCCCACCCTTCCCCAACCCTGAAAATGGTCTCTTTTCTCATAGTCTTTATGTATAGCTAGAAAAATAGTATAATTCAGTTTTCCTAAGTGGGCTAATCTCAGTTTCTAAGACCACTGTCCATTTGGGAAAAAAGCCTGAATTACAGGTCTCAGCAACCAACCACACCCTCTAGGAGCAAAAGTTTTAGCCTAGAAGGCCAGGGAAAATTTCAGTTTATACAGCTCTGTACATAGATAGTATCCTATCCCAGAATTTAGGCATGTGTTTCAGATTGTCACAAGGGGGAATTATGATATGCCAATGTCATTTAATTCCAAAACAACATGTGCTATACAAAAGCACATTAACACAAGGTTTTAAATTTAACGTAGACTTTGAAAATGTACAACTCACAAAACACCCACCCACACACACAAATTCAACAGAGCAGCTTTTACTCTGGCCTTGTCTCCCTGCATTGGCAGGAGTATTTAGCTGAGAGGCCATGAGCTGCACAGGGCAACAGATGGACCTGGCTGTGACTCTTCTGGCTCAGGGCTAGGTTTCATTAGGAAGACTTCCAAGCTAGCCGGGCGTGCCTTCTTTCTGTCCTGAAGCATCTCTGAGTAGCAGTCCAAAGCCTGTAAAACCGTACGCTTCACTGAACAGCTTCGTTCACAGTCAGGATCGTTCTCTGACAAAACCTCCAGTGCGTGTGAGACTTCGGCCAAGCAGTTAGACAGAACCTCTGTCGTCAACATTCGCTCGGGGCCTGCTTCCCTGCTGTCCTCACTGGTGTCGACTTCTTCCTCCGTGAAGCACTGCTCAGGTGACTCCTGTAAGTCTTCATTCGTCGTGTCTCCAGAGTTATCCAACAGCTCTTGCACGGCATCAAGGGTGACCTCCTCAAAGCCTACTAGCTTTGCCACATGGGCAACCTCTGTGGTAATGGCCAAAATTTCTGACTCTACCTCAAAGAAAGCATTTGCTAAATCGGGCCACACCTTTCGCCAAACACCACTTAGGCAAAGACTATTCACTTCTGCCCAGGCTATTTTGATATTGTCAATTGCCTTCATAATGTTGTAATCCTTCCAAATTTCCCCAATTGGAAGTTGCTTATTATTCCTGTTAACCTCCAGCAGCTGACTAAAAGTGCACCTCAGGTAGTAAGCTTTAAACACTGCAAAGACACCCTGGTCCATGGGCTGCAGAAGTGAGGCTGTGTTTGGGGGAAGAAACAAGACCTCGATGGGAATACAGGTCTGAAGTGAGTCAAAACTGGACAGGCTGCCCATGGAACTGTCCAAGACCAATAATGCTTTGGGTTCAAAACCATACTCTGTACAATAACACTGAACCATAGGACAAAAATGATTAACAATCCAGTCATTAAACATGTCCACCGTCACCCAGGCCTTCCTGTTGGATTTCCAGATCACAGGCAGATTAAGTTTAGAAAAACCTCTCATGTGTTTAGGAGTCTCGGAATGGTAGACAAGGAGAGGCTTCAACTTAATGTTTCCTGACGCATTGCTGCCTAGCAGAATGGTCAGACGGTCTTTAGCAGCCTTAAAGCCAGCAGCATCCTTCTCTTCTTGGGAGAGGGCTCTGGAAGGCAAGCGTTTCCAGAATAGCCCGGTCTCACTCACATTAAAAACTAAATTTGGAGAATAGTTCCCTCTCTCAACAACAGCCTTGAGCACTGCAGGAAATTCTGCTGCTGCCTTAATATCAGCACTGGAAGATTCCCCCATGAGGCGAATGCTATTAATCTTATTTCGCTTTTTGAACTTCTCAAACCATCCACGGGAAGCCACAAACGTTTTGCTGGATTCTTCACCTGCCTGCGCTTTCAAATGATCAAATAAACTCAGAGCCTTCTGCATTATCAACGCCTGGCTCAGCGGCATGTGATGTTGCATCATGTTGTCTACCCAAATGCTTAACATGTTCTCCATTTTCTCCATGACACTACTTCGGATTCGGGTCACTTTGGCAGCAGTGAGATTACTGGAATTGTGCACGGAAGCCTTCACTCTATCGGCTTGGTTTAAAATGGATTTTAAGGTTGACTGTGCCAAGCCAAATGAACGGGCCACCTCACTCTTCATCTCTCCAGCTTCTACTCGTTTGATTATCTCCACTTTCTTTCCCAAAGAGATAGATTTGCGCTGGGCTTTTTTCTCTGAAGGGCCACTACTGTCAGATGGACGTTTGGAAGACATAATGAAGGTAATATCTAATTTCTCTGCCAAAACAAGAATTGATTTGATTCTGTTAAAGCCTGAGCAATGTTAAGGAATGCTAAAAGTAAACTAGAGGGGTTATCTGGGCCATTCCCATCCAAGCATAGCATGGCACAATGGAAAGGGCACTTGATCTAGACTCGGTGGACCTGGATTCAAATTCTACTTTGCCACCTGCATGACCTTGGACAAGTCACTGAATCTCTCTGCACCTCGGTTTCCTCATGGGCAAAATCAGACAGCTGGCCTACATGCCTTTTTAGCCTCACCCCTTCTAACTCTAAATCTGTGATGCTACGAATCACTTTCCTCAGTGGCTTGGCTTACAACTCACTGCTATAGCATTTCAGAGAAATACAGAACTTAAGACTAGAAATTATATAGTCTCCAAGTGAGGAAACTGAAGCTTAGAGACAGTAAATAACTTGTTCAGAATCACAGTTTGTTGGTGATAGTCATGAGGAGAGCCAGAGGATCTCCCAGTCTGTTAGGACAATCTCAAAAACAGGATGGAGAACCAGTTCAATTCAGCAAACATTTACTAAGTAACTTCTGTATGCACAGTATTGTGCAGGGTTCTGGAGACAGGAAATTTGAGTAAGACATAATCCCCGCCCTCTTGGAATCTTCAGCAGAGCAAGGAAATGGGACACATAAATATTTATGATACAAATAATTTACTCAAAGTGCATTAGAGAAGCATGAAGACAAATGCTTTGTGAAGTTCAAAGGATATAAAGTTGTTCCTTACTGGGGAGACCAGAGAAGGTTTAATGGTGGAGGTGGCATGTGAGTTGGGCTTTAAAGAGTGGGTGTGAAAATCAAGAGATAACAAGAGGGAAGGAGGCTTGAGTGTGCTACTATCAAGTGTCTGATAACAGAAGAACTATTCTGACAGCAGTAGGAAGGATGGCTTGGAGAGGGAAGGGAATGGAAGGCAAAAAAAATCAGGTGGCTGGACAAAGTGGAAATGTCTTGCAGACAATTAACAGTGAAAGTCCGGAGCTCAGAAAAGAATCTCCCCAGGGCTAGAGATAAAGATATGAAAGTCTGTTGTTGTTTGTCCTTCCAAGAGGACATCAGGAAGGAGTGTTCATGACTTGCAAGGGAATTGAATTTAAGTAAGGGAGAGCTGTGCAAAGCCTCAATCTCTCCTCCTGAACCATCTGGGTCCACAGACGTAGATCAGGACAACTGGAGATGGCCCCAGACACAGTGGGAGGCCTCAGCTAAGGTCTTTCCCAGGTCTCAGTTTGTCTGAGGCAACACCCGTTCAGTGATTAAGGCTAAGTAGAGATGAGACCAAAAAATGGTCTCTTTTACCTAGTCCAGGAAAAAAAGATCGATCTGGGAGGGGGAAGACCCCCAGGGTTTCTGACTAAAACAGAAAAAAATTGCTATTTACACTCTCTCAGAGCCCAAACAATGACCAAGTCAGGCTTGGGCTGGGACCTGTTGTTGGCCAATCAATGAGAGCCAGAGTGATTTGGGTTTAAGGCATGGCCCTTAAAAGAAATCTAGCCCATAAACCCCAAGATATCTTGCAAGGTTTCAGCGATCAAAATTTATATGCCTTTAGGCAGAACACCCACAGATAAGGGTATGATTCCCTATGTAGACAGAGGTAGAAGAGGGAAGGAGAGAGGAAGGGAGAGAAGAAGGGAGAGAGGGAGGGAGGGAGGGAAGGAAGGAAGGAGGGAAAGAAAGGAGAGACTGAGGGAGACAGGGAGCTGCGTTGCCCAACTGGAACTGGCCAGTTGGGTCCCCAGTGGGGCAGCTGGTACTACTCACAGATCGCTGCTTGTCCTTTGTTCCCAAAGACCATAACATCAGGAAAGAGATGTCATGACTTGCAAGTGAATTGGACTCAAGTGAGGCAGGGCTGTGCAAGTTCACCAGCTTCACTCTCTCCTCCTGAGCCATCTGGGAGCAGTGGTGAGATACAGATCAGGATGACTGATGAGATGGCCCTGGATGCAGTGAGAGACCTTGGCCTTTTTAAGCTAAGGTCTTTCCCAGGTCTCAGTTTGACTGAGGTGAATCCCATTCAGTGATTAAGTCTACATAAGAAATGAGGCAAAGAATGGCCTCTTTTACCTAGTCCAAAACAGCAACAACCACCATCACCACTCTGGGAGGGGAAGACCCTTAGGGTCTTCTACACACATGCGGAGCTAACAATGACCAAGTGAGGTCTGAAAGTACTATGCAAAAAACAAAGCTGAAGGGACAGAATAAATGAGCCTGCCAAAGGAGACAAAGTTGAAAAGAGAGGGCTAAGTGTGAAAGCCAGAGAAGCATGGGAAAGATTTGGGGAGGGCAGAGAGAGACAGTGAAGGAGACAGACAAGTGCATTAAAAGATCAGAGAAACTTAAGTTTTCTGGGAAACCAAGGGATAGCACAATATCTGTTTAGAATAAAGGGGTGGTAGACAGCATCAATGCTGGAGAGAGAAGGCCTGAATAAAGGCCTCTGGATCTGGTCATTATCCTCATCATGTACAGCACTCATCCGCTGCCACAGTGGGTCTGCAAATCCTTAAAGTTTTCTAGCCAAGAAACAAGTTGTTCAAGACCTCAGAGGCTATCAAGTCTAACCCACTCATCTTGTAGGTAAGGAAAGTAAGGTAGAGAGAGTATGTGACTTTCCTAGAATCATACAGCTAGTAGGTATCTGAGGCAATATATAATAATAATGATGATAGCATTCATACTTCTCCTACTGTGTTACGGGCATTGTGTTAAGTGCTTTACAACTGTTATCTCATTTGATCCTCACCACAACACAGGGTGGGAGTCGCAGGAGGCTGTTCTTAATATCCCCATTTTGCAGTTGAGGAAACTGAGGCATACCACGGTTCAAAAGAGACGTGCCAAGGGTCACACAGCTAGTATCTGAGGCTACGTTTAAACTCAGGACCCCTCTCACTCTAGACCTAGACCTAGTTCCTCTAGACTCTAGACCTCTGTGCTGCCTAGCTGCCCAATGAAATTCAGGTTTATAAGACATACACGCAGGTCTTCTTGACTCCCAGGCCAGTGTCCTATCCACTAAACCAAGTCAGTGCAAATTCTTTCCATGTCTTGCCTAATGCCTTAGAAGAGAACGAAATCCCTAGCAATGTACCACTGGCTAGTTGCCCAAACCCTAGGGTTTCTTTTTTCCAGAGCATATTTTAAAATATCCTTTAAGTAATAAAGGGGGAGGACAACATTCACAGGCCCACAAACAAATTTTAAGACACATACCCAATCCCAACCTTCAAAAGGGAAAGTCATATTATGCTCTTTAGTCTCATACCAGGAAATAAATAAATAAATATTTTAATGCTTCTTCTCACTAATGGAATGTCCCTCCCTGCCAATCCAATTGTACAAGCTCCCCAACTAAGATAAATCTCCCTAACAGGTTCTCAAGATTCCCTGAGGACCAGCCTCTAGGGCTTCCTTCTGTCTCTTCTGTTCAAGGCCTGGCTAGCTCCCTCACCCTGATGACAGTAATGAAGCCTTTCCCTAAGGGATCAGTAGCTGTGAGAGTACACCAGCCTCCTTCTGAAGGTGTCTCCCCACGGACTTGGAACTTGGCTAAGACTAGAACTTTACCCCATGCCTCTCCAAGCATAGGTTTCACAGTGATATCCAACCCACTTGGTCCATGAACCTGCAGCCATTTCTATGGTATGTAAGGATACAGTGGAAAGAGACCTGGATTTGAAGTAAGAGGAGCTGGCAGCTACCTGTGTGCTGTGAGTAAGCTGACAGAGGTTACTCAAGAGGAGAGAAATAAGCATTTATATAGTGCCTACTTTAGTGCCAGGCATTTGATCCTCCTATCATCTCTGGGAGAGGGAGATATTGTTATTAGCCTCATTTTACAGATGAGGAAACAGAGGCAGACAAGGGTTAAGCAACTTGCCCAGGGTCAAACAGCTAGTAAGTATCTAAGGCTGGATCTGAACTCAGGACTTCCCGACTCCAGGCCCACTGCTCTATCCAAGTGCCTATTTAACTTCTCTAGGTCTCAGTTTCTTATTCTGGAAAATGAAAGCACTTGATACTGGTGATCTCCCAGCTCTAGGGTCTAGGATTAGATCTAAACTAGCAAAACTTCAGAAAGTAAACGAGCCAGAGGCCATATGCTAACACTGCTCCACGTGACTTAATGAAGAATTTTGTATTGGTTTTCTTAAAAGTTTTATGGTAAAGGAGTTTTATTTCCAGAAAACTCTTAATAAATTTAGTTGACATTTCTGTAACACTTTAAGCGTGACAGTGGCTAGAGAGCAGGTCTTAGAGCCTGGAAGACCAGAGTTCAAGTTCTACCCTTTGGTACGTACTGGTTGTGACTCTGGGTAAGTCACTTAACCACAGGGCTCTGGGCAACTCCCCATGACTGTAAGTTGCAGAGCAAGTGCCAACGTGCCTTGGCAGGAGGTCCTCACCACAAGCTCCCTATACTAGTGAAAACCCAGGTCTGGTCTCCATCCTTTTACATATATTAGCTCAGTTGATTCTCAAACAACCCCCAGGAGACAGGTACTAGTTTTATTCCCATTTTACTGATGAGGAAATTGGGCTCAGGGAGGTTCAGTGATTTGTTTGCCCAGGGTCAGATGGCTATGAAGTATTTGAGGCAGAATTTGAACCCAAACCTTTCTGCCTCCAAGCATAGCACCTTGTCCACCATGCCCTGATGCCTCTCCAGGCACAAACTTAGTGTAATATGGGAATAACAGTGGCTAAAGGTAAAAAGACAGAAGGCTCAGCAAAGGCAGGCAGTATGGGGAACCAACCAGTGGGACTGAGGGATCGGACCAGTGCAAAGAGAGGATAAGGGGAACCTCTCGCTCATGCCAGCTCCCACAGCCTTTCTTCTGACACTTAGGAATCTTCCTATCCAATATAGAAACAAACCAAACTTTCTTGCTACCCTGGAGTCCCATATTTCTGATTCCTTTTGCCTCACTCACCATCAAAGAGGTCTTCAATCTCAGTCTGGGGCAGACGTGGGACCAATGGTAGATCCGTTCGTTCCAGCTGGGATATCAAGTCAGGTTTGGAAACTGGAAGTCCTGCTCATGAGAAGAAAAGGTGGTTATGGCTGCAGTAGCTTAGGAAAGAGGATTCTGAAATCAGTCACTGTATTCAGGCAATAGTTAAAGGAAAGGAAAATTCCACAGATGGTGCATTTGCAGAGAAAGTGTCACACTGGATCTCTTTGAACCTCATGTTCCTTCACTGTGTATATCCTGAGTAGAAAGGCTTGGGACAGACCAGAGGTGGGGAACCTGGGGTCTCGAGGCCACATGTGGCCCTCTAGGTCCTCAAGTGCAGCCCTCTGACTGAATCCAAACTTCACAGAACAAACCTCCTCAATAAAAGGATTTGTTCTGTAAAACTTGGACTCGGTGAAAAGGCTGCACCCAAGGACCTAGAAGGCCACAGGTTCCCCACCCCTGGGGTAGAAGATTTGAAGAAGGCACTGATCTAGAATGGAAGGACTAGTTTCTCCAACCTCCCCTTGGCAGGAAGACAGGAAATGCCTGAAGACTGGCTCATCTCTGTACCTGGACCCTGGGAAGCTAGGGGCCTCTCAAAGATGGGAAGGGCACAGTTGAAGAGCAATCTTCAGGAAGTTGCCTATTCCTATCTGTGCACAGAACAGACAAACTAACACTAGGGAGCAGAAATGTTCTGCGTTTGGACTGAAAATCTCTGATCTCTGAACTTAAATCTGACTGAGTTGCTTCACAGACCTCAGAGACAGATGAAGAACCAGCTTCTTTATATTCAAAAGATGCCATTATGCCAGTCTCATAGAGAAGACCATAGAGAAGCAAACATGAGCAAAGGTTTTAAAATCTGGCTTTCTTAAAAGTCTGAAATTCTTTGATTTCAGACAAACCAAAGAAGTCCTGCTTTAATGAAGTCAAAAGCCCCATGTTACTTTTATCATTGGTGTAATCAGGCTTGTTATAATGGTATTTCACTACCTGCAAGTAAAGAAACACTTTTGTTTCTCCCGAGATGACCTGCCAGCCATGAAATGTAGCAAGTCTGAGAAAAGAGGCTGTACTCACCCCATGTCTGTAAAACCCTGCAAATATCTCCTCTTGCCCTCAAGTCTTTGAAGACGTACATGATACAACTTCACCCGATACCATCTGAATACCTACTACATTCAAAGCACTGTGCTAGTGTAGAGGACACAGTCCCTGCATCTTAGCTACTCACAAGCCTAATCTTAGAATTTAAATGTATGCACAAATAACCACAATACAAGGCAGCAGGCATTGTCAGAGGAGTGACAGAGACAAAAGATACTACAGGAGTTCAGAAGAGGGAGAAATAACTTCTGGCTGGGGTCATCAGGAATGGATCTGGACCTTGAAGGCTGAATGGGAGGGCGACAGTCAGAGGTGGGTCTGAGGATGGGAATGGCCTAAGCAAAGGAATGGAGGCAGGAGAGAATGGCCTAGGATCTGGGGGGATGGCAAGTAGTCCTGTTTGGCTTGCAAGGGCAAGAAGGTAAGAGGAAGGTCAGACTGGGAAGCTGCCCTGCCCCCACACTGACTTGAGACTTTTATCTGTAAGCAGTGGGGAGCCATCAAAGATTTTGGAGCATGGGAATGACATGATGCACATGGCTTTTGGGAGGAAAGGATAAACTAGTAAGGAAAGTGAACCAGAGGCAGGAAGCTCAGTTAGGAAACCCAATCCTTTGAAAGGAGTAGGTGGGAAGGAGTTTGTGAAGAAAGAATCAATACAACTTGGTGAATGACTAGATTTGGTGGGGGGGCGGTGCAGACCTAGGGAAAGAAGAGACACACACAAATTGGGTCAGAAAGATATGGTCTGAGGGAGAAAAATGATGGGTAGTTTGAAACATGTGGATTACGGATGAACAACAAGGGGATACGCAGGTGAGCATGTCTACACAGCAGCTGGAAACAGGACACAAATGAAAGCAGAGACACGCATGGACAGCAACAGGAGTAGAGGAGATTTCCAAGGAAGAGAAAGTAGAAAGAATAAAGGAGGGTTGAGGACAGAATCTTCAGGGCTATCCAAATTGAGGGATGGAAAAAGGAATGAGTAGAGACAGAAAAAGAATGATCAGAGAAAGAGAATCCTGTGTCAGGAATAGCTCGCTTCCAGAAGAAGAGGGTGGGCAACAGTGTCAGATGCCATAGAGAGCTACTGGGTGATGAGGATGGAGAAAATGCCCCTGATTTTGTCCTTCCTTGGACCAGCCCCTCCATGTCTCACTTCTGATGCGATCAGCAGAACTATATTCAGCACTCCGAGTACAAACAACAAGGCACAGAACCAGGACCCTGTCAATCAGGTAGAACTGAGATTTAACTTCTGCTTGCTTATCACGTTTTTGCTTATGCTCCATCTTCCCCTTTATTGGTACAATAGCTTTTGAGAAGAAGGGGAAGGCTACTGGAGAATATATGTAATTTTAGGGAGGTCCCGACAGAGAGGGCAATGACCAACCACACTGGCCTAAAACAACAAACACAAAATCCTATGCTTTGGAGTGTTATTGTCATCGTAACAATTCACATTTGCATAGCATTTTAAGGAACATTCTTATGTTCGCAGTAATTAACAAACAAGAAAGTCAAGAAAGAGATTCTTCTATATCCAACTGCAGGGCTGGGATGGAAGGCGAGGGTGGGTCAGTGGGTGGGGGTTCTTACCCAACGAGGCCACATTCCCATAATTCTCCAGCATCACGTCCCTGTAGAGCCTCCTCTGAGCAGGGTCCAGAAGCCCCCATTCCTCCTTTGAGAGATACACAGCCACATCCTCAAATGTCACCAACTCCTAAAAGAACAGGTTCCTGCTGCCCCAGGGACAATCTCAGAAGTCTGCTTCAGGCAGCAAGGGTGAGGTTTAGCAGCTCATGGTATGTGCAGAAGTGGATGTTAGAATGGAGGGAAGAGGCACACAGAGCATGGCACAGGAGAAAGAGCAGCCGATTAGCAATCGGGAGAGCCTGGGTTCCATTTCTGGCCCTCCCACTAACTGATCAGGATACTGCAGTCAAATCACAACCTTTCCACAATTCACTTTGCCCACCTCTGAAATGGGAAGAGTACCAGCCCATGTCCATCCCTCAGGAGGAAGAGCCCAGGCTCCTAGGGGAGGAAGCTGGGGCTCAAGCCCCTGGGTGGCACAGTGCTGGGGAGAGATGCTGACAGAAGGAGCCAAGCCAACACTCGGGTAGCAGCAATGGAATCTTGGGAAGGACGGAGGGAACCAGAGCTCACCTGAGGCCTGGCTGTCAGGAGGGCAGCCGCCATCACCTGGTCTCCTGTGTGCCCCTTGTGGGGAAGGAGAAGGACCTACAGAGCAGATGGAGCTAAGGAAGGTGAAAAGAGCCATGAGTGAGATCAACCTTGGCCTTGGGCTCTCTTGCTACAAAGACCTGAGATCCTTGCTTCTCCCAGTGACAAAACCACACTAAAGCTTTAAATTCTAAAAAAAAACATTTTAAAAGAGTCAAGTTCCTTTGGATGACAGCTATAAACTATAAGGGAACCACAGCAGAGGGCTCAACTGCTGCATGTGTGGTATGGAAAACATCCTCAGCCTCAGCGTCCTTAGCCTTAAAATGGCAATAACAATACACAGCGTTGTAGTAAGGAAGGCAATTTAGAAAGTGAAAAGCTCTCTAGAAATGTTCTTAGGTGATGTGAGTGCCCCAGGTGACACAGCATTAGTGGCAGACCCAGGACTAAAACGTAAATCTTCCAACTCCTCCGCAAATATTCTTTCTACGTTAACTTTGCTGGTAAGGGCCAGCTCAAGCAAAGGAGAGCACTGGTTGCTCTCTAGTAGGTTCAAGTGATAGGAAGAGGGGGTCACCAAGGGCACCCCTCACATCTGCTAAGAACAGCTGGGGCTAAAGAGGGTCCAGAAGCTACAAACAGTGCTGCCCCCTGGACTGGCAGAGAGGAAGACACCGTTTCCCAACCCAAGCTATAGTACAGACCTAGAAAACACCTAGGCCCACTCTACATCTGACTGCTCCGGGCCTCTACAAACTCATGCCAACACCTCTCAGACACTCCGAGGATACAGACTGGCAGCCCAGGGAAGAGGAGGACTCGTTCTTTACTCGTGCAGGTTTGGGGAAGTTTGAGCAACACTCACTGAGGGGTTCCTAAGCATGGAAGGTCTATCTTTTGCTCTAGAATCATGGCACTGGGGATCAGGTGTTTATCATTTTTGCGTAGCACAGGCATAACACACATTAACTATTACCCTGCAACTATCCAGAGACCTCTCAGGGGCCACGTGTTCCTTCTTCACCAACCACCATCTGACATCATTTAACACAAATGTCCAAACTCTAGATCCCTGAAGGACAACGAGAATAAACCTAACGACTTTCTTCAATAACTCCTGGTACTTTCTTCCTAGGCCTCTGTATTCTAATCAGCCTTCCTTGGGATTATGAATGCTTTCAAAACTGAAACAGTCAGATTATATACCAACTACAACTGCAGATCAGAAAAAAGGCAACAAAACCCTCCAAAAACAAAAATATGCAGAAGATAGCAAAAGGAAACATAAACGGAAATAAACAGTCACACACCACAGGAAAGAAGGGCTGGAGGGCACTTCATATCATAGACGGGGGATCTGCAACACAGACAGCTTTATGGGACTGTGCCAGGATCACCCAGATGATTCTTGGAAGAATTCAAACTCATACCCAGGCCTCAGGAGCCCCTCTTTTCCTATATCCTATGGCTCCTTCTCAATATTCTCTCTAATTTTAAGTTTTACAAACAGGGCATTTTGGTTATTATATTATGAAAATTAACATGAACATTTAAAATTAATTATAATTTGGAGTCATGGTTTTATGTAATTATATAAAAGCAAATATGTTCTTATACATAAAATATATTTATGTATTATATAATGCATAATTACATATAAAAATATAAAAAACAAAAATATACAAAATTATGATTTGAATGATAACTACATTGAGAATGAAAATTTTTGAAAAGAAATTTGTAATGCAATGAAACCATAGTTTTAGGCTTATGTATTGAGACAAATTAGGTAATAAAATAAATACTAGGGGCAGCTAGGTGGTACAGTAGGTAGAGCTCCAGCCTTGGAGTCAGGAGGACCTGAGTTCAAATCCAACCTCAGACAGTTGACACTTACTAGCTGTGTGACCCTAGGCAAGTCACTTAATCCCAATTGCCTCACCAAAAAAAAAAAATTAAATTAAAAAATTAAAATAAAATAAATACTAATAGAAAAGTCTCCTTAGAAATACTGCCCTTTTCAGGGTCAGAGAAGCAAGAACTTGGTTACTGTCATGCTAAAGTCAATATTAACATGTTTGAGTGTTTTTCTTCTCTTACAATTGTAAGTAATAGTTTATGAATATCGAAAATCATTTCTAATTGTTTTTGGTTTGGTCTGTTTACTTATCTCCTTTTGTTCCTGTTGATTTATATGAATGTTTGTTACTTGGTCAGTGAAAATTGAAAAAAACTAGTTGGAATGAGAAGACTGGCAAACTAATGCACCATCCTTGTAGGTATAAATTGGTTCAACTCTTCTGGAAAATAATTTGGAATTAAGCAAGAATATTTATTAAATTAATCACACATTAGCCTCCGACCCCACTACTGGGGATACACCCCAAGGGGTGTTACTGTGAGCAAGTCCCATATGTATGAAAATATTCACACAGGTGATGTGTCTATATTTTCCATAGCCTCTGGCACACTGATTTCCACCCAGATGGATGCTCCCACAGTTAGTACTTAATTAGGGTCAGTCAGAGAAGGCTGCTCCCAGCAGGTGTTCCAACTCTTTTTTATGTCACGGCCCCCTCTGGACCCCTTGTCCATATGTTTTTAAATGAACAAAATACAAAGTACTGAGAGCTTTGGTTTTTCTTTTCTTTTTAAAAAATATGCTGGGGGGGGGGCAGCTAGGCGGCACAGTGGATAGAGCACTGGCCCTGAAGTCAGGAGGACCTGAGTTCAAATGTGACCTCAGACACGTAACTTACTAGCTGTGACCCTGGGCAAGTCACTTAACCCCACTGCCTAAAGGAAAAAAAAAAAGAAATATGCTCAAGGGAGGCTAGTGCAAAAGAAAATGAACTGAAAAAAACCCTATTATTTGAAAAATAAACTTTTTAAAAAGAAAAAAATCAATAAAATACAGAGGATTACAAAGGAAATTAATGTTAAAATAAAGATGCCATTTTCCTCCTATCCTAGTTGAAGGACCCTCTGAAACTACTCCCAGACTCCTTGCGGGTCCACAGATGCCAGATTAAGAATCCTTTCACTACAGGGATGTAAGGAAGGTCAACCAAATTCAAGAGTCCATGTATATACCCAAATAAAGTTTCTGACACCAAGTAAAAAGGTGGCAGCACAGAGTGCCTTGAAGGCAGCAGCCCTGAGTTCTAATCCTCCTCTTCCTACCACATACATACTAACCATGTGACCTTAGACAAGTCACTTGGCTTAACTGGGCCTCAATTTCCTCATCTGTAAAATACAAAATATATGTAAGACTGAACCAAAACACATCCCCTTCTTCTAACATGAAGATGCTCTGCTCTAAGAGGAGGGAAATAGACAAAGAATCATCATGAATTAGAGCCAAGGAAGAGAATTAGGCTCCTGAGAGAATAGTGATAAAGGTAGGCTTGCTCTATAAAGGAGTCATTTAAAGCATCACTTTAATTGAATGTTTGGTAAGATCATTCAGCTGTTTTAATGAAATCTATTACTAAAATCTATGCTGAAAATAAGAAAAAGACAAGAGAGTTGCAGTTTGCCTACTGATTTGTTTCACTGGAACAGAGATTTGTGCTGGACATAAAAGTCATAAAGACCAGAGTTCAAATCTGGCCTCAGACACTTAGCTGTGTGACCCTGGGCAAGCTGAGTAATCTCTCAGCTTCATTCCTCAGCTGTAAAATGGGGATGAGAGTAGCACCTACCTCCCAAGGTTGCTGTCAGGATGAAGTGAGATGATAATTGTAAAGTACTTTGCAAACCTTAAATCGCTAGATAAATGCTAACTATTATTACTATTATTAGATCCAAGCATGTTCAAAACACCTAGGAGTTACTAGGATAAGATTCTGATGACCTTTTGATATTTATAATTAGCCCAATTATGTTCAAAATAGGTCTAACTTTTTTGTTTGACCTGTGTGAAAAAATTCCAAGGGCAAAGGGCTGTCTGGGGCTATGCGTGATTACTTCTGGTCACTTCTACTCCTACTACCAAGATTCCAGCATCTTCCTCTCTGGCCTATGTTTTGCAGTATGTCTTTACCTCTTATCTGCTGCAACTGTTACCAGTTCAGTTTGAGTCAAGAGTCACATCACATTCAGCCAGCTGCTTACAGTACACGGAACTGCACTTTACCGCAGGATGAGGAAACTCGGGCTACAAACAGGTGCTATATACAGGTAGGCAAATTACATGAATATGGGGTTTGTTACAGAGTCCAACATAGTCCAGTTTAGAGCAGGTCTTATTCAGAAATCTCATTAATTTCACAGTCCAGTATTCTGAGCTCATCCCTTCCCAGTTCAGGTTATTTTGTCATGATTTTGGAGAAGTCTGATTTCTCTTGCTAGTGGCTAGTTTAAGTCTCTTTTTAAGTTAACCTAAACAGGAAGGGGGCAAGTAGCTTTCCTCTGCCTCTAGTTTCAGCTAACTCTTTCTACTTGAAAATAATTCTCCTAAATCTCCTAGCTGAAAGCCTTTAATGGCCCTCAGCCCAATACAATTCTACTTAGTCTACCTCAAAAAGGGAGGATTAGGGGTGGGAGAGGAAAGGAGGAGAGGTCTATCGTCACTGCAGGATAAAAATGATCAACTCATTAACTATCCCAACTCTAGTCAGGCATTCCTGGCCCTTCACAATTTGGCCCCAACCAAGCTCTCCAATCTTATCTTCCACACACACTCTCAGCTTTAGTCAAGCTAGTTTCCTTCCCGTCTTCATTTTGGCCTTTGCTTATATCATCCTCTCCCCTTTGCTTAAATCAATGTTTCCTTTTCTTCATTGGGATCATCAAAAACCTCACCTTCTCTGTGAAAGCTTCTCCAAAGTAATTTCTCCAACTTCTCAACACCTCCAGCACTTGTCTATACTAATAATCATTCACAGCCTTATATGGTTACTCAAACTTGTTCATCTCCCTAACTATATAGTAAATTTGTTGGAGAAGGGAACTGTGCTGTCTATGTACATACCCCCAGATGCTAATACAGTGCTCTACATCAAGTGGCTGTGCAGTAAATGTTTGCTAATTGGTTGAGGAAGTGCCTCAGAAAATGGAGCTAACAGCATGTAGCCCTTGGCTTGGACTAGGGCAGGGTCTTTACCTTTTCTGTGTCATGGATCTGCTGGGCACTCTGGTGAAGCCTAGACAGGATTACAAAGGAAACCAGTTACTAAAACTTTTTTTTATTAAAAATTTTTTTTCAAATTAATTATTTTAACATTCTTTTCCTTTTCCAATTCTGAGTTCCTAATTTTCTCCTTCCCTTCTGCCTTTCCTCCTTTTTTGCCTAAGGAATATATCAATTATACATGTGAAATCATGCAAAAAAGATTTCCATATTAGCCACTTTGCAAAACAAAACAAAAACAAAAATAAATAAATAAAGTTAAAAAAAGCATGCTTTGGTTTGCATTCAGACTCCTTCAGTTCTCTCTTTGGAGGTGAATAGCATTTTTCATCGTAAGTCCTTCAGAATTATCTTAGATTGTCGTATTGCAGAGAACAGGTAAGTCATTCACAGTTGATCATTGTCCAATATTGGGGTCACTGGGCCCAATGGTCTCTTGGTTCTGCTCATTTCACTTTGCATCAGTTCCTGTAAGTCTTTCCTGGTTTTTCTGAAACCCTCTGTTCGTCAATTTTTTTGGTTCATCATTTCTTACAGCACGATCTTTTACCACAACTTGTTCAGCCACCCCCCCCCACAATTTCCAATTCTTGGCCACCACAAAAAGAGCTGTTATCAATATCTTTGTACGTGGAGGCCCTTTCCCTTTTTGTTTTTTCTCTCTCGAGGATGCAGACCTAGAAGTGGTATTGCGCAGTTTTAGCGCCCTAACGGTTGTTTCGGGTTTTTCTTAATTTTGGGTCCCTGATAAAAGGTGAGAGCAGAACTTCAAGGCCACGGCTTTCATTTGGCCCTTGGGCCAAGTCCTTCAAAGTGTGAGCCCTGATTTGTCCCACAGTCCCCGGCGTGCCAGCTTTGAGGGCAGAACAACTTGCAGAGCAGGTGCGCGGACCCATCCCCGGCACTTTAAAAAACCACCACGAGGGCTTCTTCGGCTTTTCGCTTCTCCCCGTCCCCCCCCCCGCCTTTTTTTGTGTTTGGCGCCAATTTCTTTCTTCAGCTCCCCCTTCGACCCAACTGGGACGACAGAACCGAGCCGGGTTTCTCGGGCGCAAGTCCCTCCCGGGCACTCCCGAGAACTTTGCCGCCCCAGACTCGTTCGAGCACCCTCGGGCGCGCTCCGAGGGCCGGCCTCGGGCCCCGAAGGCGCTCTCGGCACGCGCGGCTCGCGAGGAGGAGGCGGCCCGGGGGCGCACGGCCCAAGGCAGGGTGAAAGCCCCGGGGGCGGGGCGCCGGGACTCGGGCCGCGGGCCCGGCCCGGAACAAAGAGGGAGCTTCCCCGGGGAGCCCGAGGCGGGGGGAAGGGGGAGGGGAGCCGTGGCCGGCCCCTGTCCTGTTCTGGCCCAGGCTCGCACTCACCAGAAGCCGGGGAAGCAGCTGACCGTGTGGCTGGAAGCGAAGCGCGCGACCCGGGCCGAGAGCGAGCCAGAACGGCGGCGCAAAGAACTCTTCCGGGGCTCCCCGAGGAAACTGCGGACCTCCGACCTTGGCGGTATCCGGCTGGGGGCGGGGGCCGGGGCCGGGAGGCGAGCTAGCGAGAGAGTCAGAGGGGACGGGGGGGGGAGAGAGGAAGGAAGCAAGGAAGGAGGGAGGGGAGAATCAGGGGGGAAGGAACGGGAGGAGGAGAGAGACAGAGGTGGGAGGGGCGTGTTGCATGGACCAGGGGGCCCAGGCCTGGAAGGGGCAATCCGGAGAGGGGGAGGGAAAAGCTAATCAGAGCCGCCAAGTCTCCAAGTTTCCAAAGAAAAATGACTAAGGTGCCATTGAGGACCTGTTGCGCAGGGTTAGGGCACTGGGCCTGAAGCCAAGAAGACCAGAGTTCAAATGCAGCCTCAGACACTTACTAGCTGTGTGACCCTATGCGGGTCACTTCACCTCTGTCTGCCTCAGTTTCCTCATCTGTAAAATGGGGGTAATGACACCTATCTCCCAGGGTTGTTGTGAGGTCAAATGAGATGATATATGTAAAGTGCTTCTTAAATCACTACATAAATGCTATTCTTATTATAGCTATTACTGAAATGGAGACTAAAGAGGTCCTTTGAAGGATACAATCTTTGCAAAACCCTGGACTTTAGGGATCATGGGCTTTTACCCCTTGGTCCCCTGAGTCTTGCAGGGCCCTACCACCCCCACACCCCTACCCCAGGTTTCCTTGTGTTCACAAGGAGTCAGACAACTCCCAGACTCCATGGAAAGGGACAGGTTCAATACTTAAACCAGTTGACTCTTAGAGCATCCTATGTGTAATATTTTCTACTTCTTTTGGTAAAATCCACCACCATCTGTTTCCATTCCCCTTCTTTGCGTAAAGACATAGGCCCAGAACCTAGAGGGAGCCCACAATAACTCAGAACCCAACCTACCATCCTTAGAGCAGCAAAGGCAGTGAAAAGGGCAGGGGATTGGTGAAAGTGGACCTGAGTTTGAATCAAGGCTCTCTCAGATACTAGCTATGTGATCTCAAGTAAGGCACATAACATTTCTGGGCTTCATTTTATCATTTGTCAAACAAGGGAATCAGACTAGATGACTTTAAGGTCCCTTACAACTGGGTTCACAAGAGGGTCAGGAAACACAGTCCCTGGGATATCACTTAGAGTGTGGAGCTGTTATTGCACCCCTGCTGATTTGACCCTGGCCACATGACCTCCTCATCTTCATCCTGCCTTAGTTGAGAGAGTTGTAGGAATGGAGTGAACCACACTGACTCCATCTTGTGCCTCAAGTCTGGCGCTAGCTCAGTTCCCTTTCTTTCTCTTCATTTATGGGTCTAGTCCATTAAGAAAACCTTATTCAATTGTGGGAATTGGGAGAAAACCTTAGGAGTCTAAGTTGCAGAAAAGGTGCCGACATGCCAGAGGGACTTTGCAGACAAAAGCAATTACAGACCCTGCCCTCAAGGAACTTAGAATCCATTAAGAGTAGATCCATATAGAGGTATATCCAAAGTAGATACAATGTGGGGTTTAGGAAAGGCCTTGTGTGCTTGGGCTGTGTTCCTACTGAAGGACAGGAGGGATTTTAAGAGACAGAGGTGAGCAGAGACTGCTCTCCAGGCAGGGGTCTGCAGAAAGACAGGAAATGGAGGGCCATGTCTGAGTAACAGTGAGAAGGCTAATTTGACTGGATCACAGGGGAAGGGGAGTAAGGACGCAGGAAAAGTAGGACTGTGAAAGGCCTTAAATGCCAGCAAGAGTTTTTATTTGCTTCTAGAGGTACTAGGGAGCCACTGGCGTTCACTGAGGAGAGCAATGACACTGCTGGGTGGAGGCTGAATTAGAGTAGGACCACACTAGAGTCAGAAAGACCAAGCAACAGCCCTGGTGAGAAGTCACTGGTTCACATGACTAGAGCTGCAAGGGCCCTCAGAAGCCAGCTAGTCCAGTCCCCTCGTTTTACAGATGAGGAAACTGAGGCCCAGTGAAGTAAAATGACTAGGCCAAGGTCACACAGATAAGCATCAGAGGCAGGTTTTTAAACCCAGGGCCTCTGAGTCCACAGTCAGTGTATCTGTCCTAATGGTGATGAGGGTGAAGGAGGCCTCCCAGCTAGGGTGGTAGCTGTGTGGAAGGACAGGAAGAGAAGGGGACAGATGCAGGAGATGTTGTGGACGGAGAAACAAGATTGTGCAACTGACTGACTACATCTTCCCCTGACTGTGGGACACTTTCAACTTGGATATAACCAGCACTGCAAATTCAACATGTACAAAATTGAGCTCATTATCTTCCCCGCTAAAGCTGTTCCTCTTTCAGATGCCATCATTTCAGTCTACAGCACTTGTCTCCCAGCTTCTAAACCTTCCCTCATATCCACGCTCAGTGCCTACATCTCCTCCCTGTACCCACTGCCACCCCTCTGGGACAAGCCCTCAGCTCCCCAGCTTGCAGGGCCCTTCTTCTTCCTCTCCCTCACCTTACTACTGGGAGCTTCCTCACTAACCTCCTAACAGGAGGTTAACCTTCCCACCTCTATCCCAACAATCTTACTTACAAAGAACTGTGTCAGTCTTCTGCTCAAAAATCTTCAGTGGCTCCCTAGGTCTGCCGAAGCTAGTTCAAACTCCTTCAGACTTGCAAAGCCATCCACCAATTGGCACAGCCTGCCTTTTCAGCTTGATTGCATTAATGTTCCTCTCTGAGCACGCAACCCTGTTTCCACACTGAAAGGCTTGCTGCTTCCCAAACCCGCCCTGTACTTTGCTAGCTCTGTACCTCTGAAACTTCTATTCTCTCACACTGGAAGACCTTGCCCTCCACCTCTGTGCCTGTTCAGTTCCTGCCTATCCGTTAAGCCCAGTTCAAATGGCATGCACCTCCTGACGCTTTCCCCCACTCTGGCCCGGTAGGAACAATCATTTTCCCCTCAGACTTCACACACACTTTATTCTGCCCTTCTCTCATATGCTTGGTATACCTAAACTCCGCATCTCTCCCCACTCCCATGCCTCGAAGAGGACACTACATACAGTAATTAATAAATAAATGCTTGTTGAATGTGTGAATAGATGGGCACACAATATATCCTTGTTGATATATACTGACAGAACCAGAGTAGAGCAGGCTGATTGGCATGGCAGGAACACTGAATTGGGGCGGGGCAGAGGGAGGGTCAGGTCAGGATACCTGGGTTCTAGTCTTGTCTTTGCTGAATGACCTTGGACAAATCGCTTAACCTCAGTTTCCTCATCTGTAAAATGAGGAAGTTCAGCAAAATGACTTTTCAAATCCCCTGGCTATTCTAGTAATCTATGGCCATTCTTTGGCATGACTAGTCTGTGATCTTTCCCATCTTCTACCTTTTGTTCTATATCTGAGTCCAGTTTCCTTTGGACCCTGGAGCCCTCTGCCTACAGAAAATCTCTTGCTTTTTCCCTTTAATGTTCATGGTCATACCTGCGAGCACTAAATCAACTAGTGCATTCTCTGGATGACATTTGAGAAAACCTATGCTCCCTGACACACCCCACCAACTTTTTAATTCCATTTCTTTCCTAGTGATGAGGTATGGCTATGAATCCCAGAAGGCTACAACCTCTGAAAAATCCAAACTGCAGGTGGGGGACCACAGATGTGGAGTGTTGCCTTCACCATCATCATCATCAGTGCATTGATTAGGTTTGCTGAGGTGCTTCTTTTCCCTCTCTTTTTAACAAGGGATAGGGCAATGGGATGGGGATGGGGGTGGGGCAGAGAGAGAGGAAATATATTTAGAAACAAAGGTACCAACAAAAATAAATTTTGTTGTTTTTTTAAGAAAAAACACGCATTTCAGAAGGGAAATGTATAATCAGAAAAGCAGTGGGGCTCACAGGTCATGTACTTATGCCTGAGGGCTAGGAAACAGATGGGCAGCCCCAGGTCTACCCTAGCACCTACTAAAGAGTTGCTGGATGGGGCACACCTGTCCTGTATCCTGTTCCTTGAGGGCTGAGACCATTCCATACCTAGAAGTGCACCTGCATGCCAAAGAGCCATTCCCACAGACACATCCAGGGGATTTCAGCCAGCAGATCCCCAGCAAAGTAGTACAATGAGCCCATACCATTCGCTATCCCCTTCTCCTTGGCTCCAGTCTTTCTTCTGGGCAAGGTCAAGCCTTGTCCTTGATCACATCCCTTCCCATTATCTTCTCTCTTTTAGTAACCTTCAATCTGTATCTGCTGGTTCCTTCCCTACAAACATGACCAAAGCTCTCCCATCCTTAAGAAACAAACAACCTTTTACTTCAGCCTGCTGGCTTTTCACATTCTCATCCTCTTATCTCTCTTTGCTTCCACAGTCAAGCTCCTACAGAAAGCAATCTAAACCCACTGCTACCATTTCCTCATTTCCCACTCCCTTCTCAACCCCTTGAAATCTGGCTTCTGACCTCACTGCTCAACTGAAATTTTTCTTCAGGGTCTCCTAATGGCCCCTCCCTTTCCCCCCCCCCACCTTCTCCTTGACCACAGTGGATAGGCTATTGTATTTGGAGTCAGGAAGGCCTAAGTTTAAATACCTCCTCAAACACTAGCTGTGTGACTCTGGGTCAGTCACTTACCATATCTCAGCTTCCCTTTCCTCATCTGTAAAATGAGGGATTTCGACTCAGTGGTCTAAAGTCCCTTCCAGTTCTATGTCCATGATGCTATGGACTCTTGGTGGGTTTTGACATTGATTACTGCTTCAACTCATCTATTCTGTGATTTTTTTGGGAGGGCGCTGTCCTTTACTGGTTCTCCTCCTGTGTGTCTGATTACTCCTGCTCTGTTTGTCCCACCCCTTTTGTGAGGGCATAGGATCAGATATCTGGAGCTAGAAGGGACTTCAAAGGGCATCTAGTTCGAGTCCTTTTCACAGTGGAAAAACTGGGCCCAGGGAAGTAAAGTAACTTGGCCAAGGTCACATATGGATTGTAAACATCAGAGATTGGATCTGAATTCTGAGTCCTCCAGCACACCAGAATCAGGGCTTTCTCCATTATACCACACTGCCTTGGCTACCCTAG